TAAGGGGAATGCAGGAGATAGCCAATGGATGGTTTCCCCTCTCTCTAAAATCAATAAAAATATATTTTAAAAAATTTTAAAGAAGGGTTTTATAATATTACAGTATTTTCTTTCAATTTAAAAAATTACATATATTTTTATTTATATACCCATATAAATACTATATATATATATGTATACATACATAAAATTAAAAAAATGATTGTTGTGTTCATTCTGCTTAATAAATATAATTCTACAACATAATTTTTTATGGCAACTTTAACAGACAGTTTTTAATATATATTGATTGGCTGCCTCCTGCACACACCCCACTGGGAATCAAGCCCACACCCAGGCATGTGCCTGGACTAGGACTGGAACCGTGACCTCCTGGTTCATAGGTCTACACTCAACCATATACTGAAGGTTTATGCTCAGATTGAGCCACACTGGCTGGGCTTGAGTTGAGTGTTTGAAGGACACTAGGATATGGTCAGGTGGACACAGGTTGGAAAGGAAATGAGTGGTGGGAGAGGACATCCCAGGAGTTCATGTGCCCCTAGGCATGAAATAGAGTGCAGTCTTCTCATGGACGTTTGTTTAATGAATGCACAAGTCATATGGGAAGTTGCAAATCTGTCAAAGTGTGGTTGTAACAGAGGCCAGTGATAAAGACTTTTGCTTGGACCTATTGTAGGAGTGTGATGTGATGAGCATTATATGATAGCAGTTTAGAAGGTAGAATGGTGGGGAAAGTACCAGAGGCTAAAACAGAGACTGAGAGGCTCTAGCTCAGATCAGAAGAGATGAGGTGAACTGAGGCAGTGGCAGTGCAGAAAGGCAGGGGGGTGGTGGGTGTCATAAACCAGCGGCTGCCAACTGGTAGTCCACGGACCACTGGTGGTCCATGAGGTCCGAAAGGTTGGCGACCGCTGTCATAAACAGCTTGATGTCTGGGTTGATGTGAAGAGATAGGGAAGAAAGGGCCTCTGAAGTTGTGGTCTCACCCTGAGGTGTGAGAAATGGAACATACGGTGTGAAAAGGAAATGTTAGAAGCTGTAAATATGTTTAGTTTCCACCTATTTAAGTAAAGGAAACAATGATATTTTACTAATGTTTATGCTTTCAGTTGTTAGTGATACAGATATTTAGTTTTAAAATTATTATGCTTATACTGAAGGTTTATGCTCAGATTTTTTTTCCACTGTTGGAAGTCTAGTAAAAAAAATTATTGGAGACCAGGAGATGCTTTAAGGCAGTGGCTTCCAACCTTTTTAGTCTTGGGTCCCTTTGTACTTTTTTATTTTAGGACACCCAAGAAGCTTTTGATTATGTAGATTATATTTATTGATACTTATCCTGTTAAGATTTACTATCTTAAAAGCTGAGAAATTTAAAAATATTTGTTTAGTAATTTATTTCAAGGTAATAACAAACCCACTACATGTTAATATAACTAACATACTTATTATAAAAAATAACTCTATTTCTGCCTGGCCGGTATGGCTCAGTGGTTGAGCATCGACCTATGAACCAGAAGGTCTCCTTTTGATTCCCTGTCAGGGCACATGCCTGGGTTGCTGGCTCCATCCTCAGTAAGGATAGTAAACATCATCATTGATGTTTCTATCTCTCTCTCCTCTCCCTTCCTCTCTGAAAGAAATAAAAATATTTTTAAAAGAAAGAAAAACAACTCTATTTTTTCATAACAAAACAAAATTGAGAAGAGTAACATTGTTTTACATTTTCACAAATATTTTTAATGTTTGGCTTCTAGAAGACATCTGCATTCTCCTATCTGCTCTGTACTCAGTTGTTGCAATATGTTTTTCTGATTGAAGTGTATGAAGGAAATCTGGTCTCACACAAAGGTATAGTTGGAAAATGGAGGAGATTTTAATAGCTTTTTCAGGTAATTGTAGATATTCTTTTTTGTCATTCAGTAAGAGACAATTTTCTGAAGGTTAATTGCAATTTGGAACCTGATACCACATCAGTAGACTTTTGTGCCCTGTTATATTAAGTCCATTTGTTTAGTCTGTACTTTGATGTCTGCATTCAAACCTGATTTTGTAACATCATGAATTGGTTATTTGAAAAATAACAGTTTGTTGAGTTATTTGAGAATTTAAAAATGTTGGCACATTTCATTATACATCTTAAAAATCATTTTTGTTAGCATCATCAGTAGGCTCATCAGAAAATCTATATGTATTGGGAAGTTGTCAAATTCATGGTGATAGACACAAATTTCCAAAATTCTTGTTTTTGCTGAAATTTCTATCACTGGTAACAATGACTGTCAGTTGTTTCCCTTATTAATTTGTTTTCCAGGAAACATCTGCCAAATACCCAAGTCTGAATAAACTACTTTGTCATACATTCTTTCAAATACAAACAAGGTTACATGAGAAAAGTGGCTATTTTAGCTGACTAGTAGAACGATTACATAAGCGCTTTCCTTGCAACAATTGTAATTCAGACTAAGCATTTTTTAAAAATTGTGTTTGTTTTTACTGTGAGCATGTGATGGGGAAGCATAGAAGGTGTAAAATTTGTCACCAGTACCATGACTTGTGCTAAGGCTCTTCCAGTTTTACTGACCATCAGCATAAATGTGAACACAATGTAAAAACAACAACAACAGAGAGCATCTTAGTATAATTATGGAAACAGTTTTGACTTTACGGGCTCCATGAAAGATCTTGGGGACTCTGGAGATGTCTCGTTAATAACTGCGGACTTAAGATCATCCTGATACAGATGTGGGGAGGCCTCATGCCACCTTCTGCTTTTTTGAAAAGTTTAAAGAAAAGGCATTTCAAATTTATGCTACATTTTTTAAAAAGCGAGATAATCTTATCTGAAACCCATGGCCTTACAACAGTTTTTAAAAACTTATTTATTTTTAGCCAAAATTACAAGTTTAAAAGTTGCTATTTCAACTTTTCTAGACTGGCATTTAGTAATTGTCTTTTTGTGTGTGTGTGTCTAAATGCCTAACATTTGTAAGAGCCCTAACAACCAAATCACAGGAAACTAAATTCATCTCTCTTCCTTAGTGAAGAGTAACTATTTTATTTCACAAAATTGATTGTCCAGAAACAAGTCTTATATATTAAAGTGTTCTATATGTAGTAATAACAACTGTATAAACCAGTCCAACTCCTGTTTTAGTTGTTAGTATTTCTTCCCTGAACTCAGACGAAAGGATGCTTTATTTTAAAAGGTTTATTTAAGTGTAATTGTTTTAATCTATCTCATTTTTAAAGAAGACTTTTTATGCAATCAAAGATGATCATCTGAGTCCTGGGTTATTTTAAGAGCTAATTTCCTAGAATGTTTATGCGATATATTTGTTAAGTCCAAGTATTTTTTCTAATTATAGTACAGGTAGCAATTAAAAGTAATGAAAATGATCTTAATAACTTATCTAATGGGCCATGGTTAAAATTCAGTTTTTAGACTGTAGCTTATGTGTCATTTATAGAGTGATTCTTAAGAACAGGTGATGTTACAGATGAAAAGCAAAACGTTATGGGTTAGAAGCCAGAGGAAATTTTTATGAAAAACAAACTGAGGTCATTAGGTACTCAATAGGGATGAAAAGTTTAAGCTAACAAACAAGAGCCTTGGAGGAGATAAACATTGAACACTGAGTATCAAGAAAGGGGAGTTTACATTTACAGAAAAGTAGAGAATAGTATAACAAACAACTATATGCCACTTACATTTAATAATTATTCATCTTTTATTTTATTTGTTTTGTCTTTTTTTTGTGAAGATACTTTAAACTAAAAGACATCATGACATTTTACTTCTAAATAAGGTCATGTTGTTATGAGAATGTCCAAAGTGATGGAAGAGTTTATCTGAGCCAAATGGAGGACATGCCTAGAAGTAAGATCTCAAGAGATTGAGAAAATGCTCCCAAGAATGACAGTTTTGCAGTTCTTTTTATGTATTTGGAATCAAAGGAGGGAATTTAAGGAGATCACATAAAATCTGTTGGTGGTAGGTAAAGGAGATGGGAGAAAGCAAGTTCGAGAAAACTCCCAGGTTGGATAAAAAATGGAGGGATATATACTCCCTTTACATTGGTGGGTACAGGATAGTTAACATTTTAACAGTTACAGTAAGTAGATGGTGTTCAGGCACCAAGATCGTGTGCTCCCTTGAGGGTGGCTATACCTTTGAGGAGTCTGGAAAAGAGAATTACTCTGGCATTTCAAAGATGTGTTAACCTAAATGCACAAGTAGGATGGACAAGGCTTCAGGCAAAGATAAACCTTTTACTAAGGAAGTTATAGGCCTGGTGCTTAACTACTTACCATGACCTGCCCCAAAAGAAATTTATGATCAGCTCACCTTGGGAGGTTACTCTCAGTCACTGTGTTTGTCAGATTTATGACATAATCCCTTTTTTGTTTATAATAATTTGCAGCTCTAAAAGAAAAAACTTACAAGTATACATTTTACTGTGATGTGTTAATCTGAAGACAACTAGGGACATGGCCGAGGGCCTTTGTTTTGCAAACTGAGGTGTGCAAGCTATAAGCTCTTGCAAAATAGGTTGGGATGATGAAAGGGATTCTATAAAATTGTTTAGAGGACTTAGAGGAGGAAGAACAGTGAGCGAAGGACAAGAACTTGGGGAGGGAGACAGAGATATTAAATGGGCACATTTGATTAAACTTTGCTATTTGGTATGTGATTTAACCATTTTCTCTCCCTACAATATCTTAATTTAAACTTGCATTATTCATTTATGCTTTATAAATTGGATTATTTTTTTCAACTTGTCCCTGACCTTGGGGTGTGTAGAGTGGAAACGGAGCCTACATAAATGTGTCCATTGGAGCTGCACGGCTAGCATTGAATGTATCTAGGAATTCATACTTGGAAGAGTTTCAGCCAGTTGGTGACAGAATGCCCTATTGGAATTATTCCCCCCCCCCCCATTTTTGCAATGAAGTAATATATGTAATTAATCTATGCAATGTCTTCTTATGTTTAGGTCTCGGATGTGGCTTATTGTACACTGCAACAGTGACCATTACGTGCCAGTATTTTGACAGCCGCCGAGGCCTTGCACTTGGCCTGATTTCAACAGGTACATTTTCAAAATAAGTACAGTATTGCCCCTATTCAGCCTTCTAATCAAAGTTAAAAGTTGGCAAACAGATATGTGTAACTACTCCCAGCTATCACTCAGGTAGCGCCTTTTTTTTTTTCTATTCCTACAAGGAAATTTTATTTTCCACTGTAAATGTGGCATAGCGTTCAGAAAAGCCTAAGATAGACGTATGAAAACCCGTTTATTTCAAAGGTGTGTTGACCTAGAGGCACAGCAACACTGGACAGGGTTTGCTTCAGGCAAAAATAAATCTTTTACTAAGCAGTTATAGGCCTAGGGAATGACAAGCCAGCCCAGTTAGGAATTTATGATGGATGAGATCACCCTGTGAGCTTACTTTCCATAGAACCCTTTTTCTTCGTCCACAAATATCATATTGGAAAGAAAGCTTATGGGCCCAGTAAGTTGAGAGTCATGTACTGGTGAGAACCTTGCTGAAGGAAGTGGACAGCATGTATATAAAGCACCTTATCCCTGAGAAAGACAGGAGAAAAGGAAGGGAAATGGCGACGCCGTCAGAAAGACGGATGCTGATAGCTCTCGCCCTCCATTTATTGTGACACTCACAATTCCCACACAAAAAAAAGTGGAAAAGATTGATTTATGAATATAGCTCACTGACCTATGTGCGCAGCCAAAGACAGGCTGTTTATTCTTGCTGTTCCTTTAATAATCAAGAGATGATCACTGCGGGGGTGGAGGATATAAACATAAAAGTTTCTGGCCTCTGATATTTTAAAGTGGTGCTTTATTTTTCAGTTGGATTTTTTTTCCTAGGCTGTTTAGGGAATTTATCAAAGTTTCTGTAGCCAATGTCTTATGAGTTTGGTTAGGAGATAAAGCTGCCAAGTTTACTAAAAGCTGTATGTTTACGTACGCTCCTTGTTAGTGAGTGCGTGTTCTTGGGAAGCCAGGCTTTCAGATACGCTGAAGAACTTTAGTAGTAGATCTGACCACAGGATCCAAATTAGTGTTTTGTTCCTGAGGCCAACCCAGGGGCAGCAAAGTGATTCCAGATGGAATTATATCTAGCTGGATATTTACTCAAGGTGGTTTAAAGAAGCATTGGCAGGTGAGAAATGGGAATCATAGTGTAGGGAGAGACATGGCCAGAATCAGAGGACATGGCTAAGATAGAAATGGGAACAGAAATAGAAAAAACAAGAAGGAGAATCCAGAACGGTTGAAATGCAGTTTCAAGAACCCGACAGGATCTCCAAAAAGTGTGGGGAGTGTGATAATAGGCATGGCAGCTTAAAGGACAAGAGGTCTTACCTCTCTTATATTTTTTGTAGAGGCACTATAATGATGCAACAGGCACAGACCCTGGGGTCAGACCTGGTGTTGAATCCTGCCTGTGTCACATCCACTAGCTCTCTGTTGATGGACAAGCTAGTTAATGGTTCTGTTAACTATTAAGCCTCAGTTTTCTGAACTGTAAAGTGGGAATAAAAGAGTCCCATCAGGTTATTGGGAATATTAAAAGAGTTATTGTGTAAGACACATGGCAAGGGCTCTAAAAGTATTAGCCATTATAATTATGACCTAGATTTCCCTGAATCTCCAAATTTATTTGTGCTGAAGATGTTGAAAATTGCTTATTGAGAGAGCTGCTCCTGCTTTTCACTCAGTCTAGGGAGGAGGGCATAAGGACTTGAGCCAGAAATGGAGCTACTATGGACAGTCAAGACTTGGCAGAATTAAGGAGTTTACAGTGTCAACTCACAGGGAGCTAGGTGAGGCAAAATTAGGGAGAAGCATGAATCTACTGTCTCAGTCTGTTCAGGTTGCTATAAGAAAGTACCATAGAGTGGATGGCTTATAAACAATAGAAATGTATTTTTTATAGTTCTGGAGGCTGGGAAATCCAAGAACAAGGCACCAGCAAATTTAGTGTCTGGTGAGGGTCCATCTTCTGGTTCACAGAGGTCATCATTTCATTATGTCCTCAGATGGCCGAAGGGAGAGGGAGCTCTTGGGGTCTCTTTTATAAGGGCACTAACCCCATCCATGAGGGCCTCGCCATCATGACCTAATCACCTCCCATAGGTCCCACCTCCTAATATCATCACCTGGGGGGCTAGGTTTCAGCATATGAATTTTGGGGAACACAGACACTCAGTCTATAGCATCCACCTTCAGTGAAAGAGATGACAAGCAAAATATAACTCACAGTAGAACATTTTTAAATTGAACAGAAGTTAATAGTGAAAATCCTTGCAATATGGGACCTAGTTGAAAGGAGCCTAGGCATTAAATGAAGGTTTTGGGAACTCGGTCTTGCTCCGTAGGGGTTGGTAAACTAATGCCCATGGCCCAAGTCTGGTGTACTGCCTGTATTTGGACAGCTCACAAGCTAAGAATGATTTTTTCTTTTTAGTGTAGATTTTAAAAATCATAAGAAGATATTTTTATGGCAGGGGAAAATGATGTGAAATTCAAATTTCAGTGCTCATAAATAAAGTTGTATTGGAACACAACCATGCTCATTCCTTTACAAACCTTCTCTGGCCCCTTTCTTGCTTCAGGGGCAGAGTGGAGCATTTACGACAGAGATTGTATGGCCCTCTATGGCTTAAACATGTATTCTCTGGACCTTTACAGAAAAAGATTATTGGTCCCTGGTGTTAAAAGTTAATCAAAGCATGAGTGTCTCTCTTACTGTTTCAGTAACTGAACATCAATTACTATTTTCCCTCTTTGTGATAATATATAACTTAGACATGCATGGAAGCATAATTCATCCTTTATTTCACTTCACCATTTACACTGAGGATTTTTAAATTAGGGTTTTCTTTTTGAAAATTAAAAATTATAGTTTTCAGTTTACACAGTTCCACAAGAAAGCTCTGAATTACTCTTTATTGCCCTGAAAGGATTCCTGCATCTTTCTAAGCTTTGGCTGCATTCTTGTGAGATGTAGGCTGGGGAAACTACTGTCAGTGTGTAATTTGATTGTGCTGTCCTATCATATACTTAGCACATCATATGTATTCTATATATTTTGGTTGAATTAATTTAAATGTCTTTCTTATATTTCATGATGTTGAGGGCTAAACTTAGTTGGTGAGCAATGGAGAAGTTGCTTATTTTTTCAATTTAAGGTCAAAACACAGAACTTGCAGAACGCCAAGAGTATGTGTAGGTATCTAATGTTAGGGCACTATGTTAGAATCTATACAGAGATATGGTATTAGGCAAAAATGTGAATTAACAGTGAATGGAGGTTACTGCAGTACAGAAGTACATGAAATAGTGCTATTTTCTATTCTTTCGGTTTGTTTTCTGAAGTGCTTTTAACTTTGGGAGTATGTGTCACTTTTAAAAAGATAAGGGAAAGATTAAATTTGTCTACTTATTATTTTTCAATAGTCAGCAAGAAGATACTATCTTACTACCCACAAAATGATATTATTGTAGCTGCCATTACATCAATATGAGCTACTAACATTTTAATGCAAAGAATTTTTAGGGAGGGTATTAAAAAGTTAACTTCTAAAATGTTAGAGAGGGACAACTATGGTCCCAAAGAAAATGCTTCTTTATAAGAGGGTCATTTGGTTATTTGTAAGAATTTTTGATAAGATGGGTTTTGCTGCAAGCATGGCATCCTGTTGGGGTTATGAAGTAATTTGGTATAGATCATTTTAAAAGTATGACCCACCTATTTACCTATTTTTAAACAGTTCTGTTTATTACTCTCCTGCTTTTTTAGGTGACATTTTTCAATGATGTTTAAATTTTAAAATACTCAATTTTTTAAAAAGTTGAAATCAGAACACTGCTAATTAATTCGGCTGTTGTAACATGAGGTTCCAGTATGTTTAGTGTGATCTATGCTTTAAAAAAAACACCCAGAAAATCCAGGAAAATTTACTAGGCATACTTTGTGATTTCAATACCCTATCAAATTCCACTTTATTCTTTTCATGGTTTAGTAATGTGAATCATTATATTCTGGTGATTTAGCAGTGGATTTGAACTATCACACCATGACAAATATCCCATAAAAATTAAAATACATTCTTCAGCTCAAAAAATAAAATATGAATATTTACTTGTTCAAAGGGAATAAATATATATAGCACAGAGCCTGGCACATAATAAGTGCAAAAAAAGTAGTTGCTTAAGGTATTTGTTACGAATATGGGCTCCAGGAGTCAGAATGATGGAGTGTGCCTCCTACTTATGCCATTTACAGCTCAGTGACCTGCGGCAAATTTCTCAACCTTTCTAGCCTTCAGTCACCTCAGGTACAGGTTGGGAATAATAATAGGACCTACACAATGTGATCATTATCAGGATTAAACAAGATCATTCAATGTGCAGTGTTGAACACTATCTGAACTACAAATGCTATTTCTTAAAATAAATATTCTGTCAGTATTACTATTATTGTTGCTATCATCACCTTTCATATCCTTGCTGTGACTTTTCATATGATGGCACACCCGAGTGCCAGTGGAAAAAAGAAATTGCACTGCGGTACCGATAACACTTGTCCCAAGAGCCCCACGTTATAAGAGATTAAGATTGAACAGTTCCGTTTCCTTTTCAGGTTCAAGTGTTGGACTTTTTATATATGTTGCTCTGCGGAAGATGATGATTGAGTTGTATGGACTGGACGGGTGCCTGCTGATTGTGGGTGCTTTAGCTTTAAATATATTACCCTGCGGCAGTCTGATGAGACCCCTCCGGTCCTCCGATTGCCCTTTGCTGAGAAAACAGCTCTGGAAAATGTACCAGACAGATACTCCATTTACAACGAAAAAGAAAAGAACCTAGAAGAAAGCATAAACATCCTTGAAAAGAGCTACGGAGGCGAGGAGACCTGCAGGAGCACGCTGGCCAATGGCGACTGGAAGCAGGACAGTCTCCTTCATCAGAACCCAGCAACCACGGCACACACAAAAGAGACGGAAACCTACAAAAAGAAAGTGGCAGAACAGACATATTTTTGCAAACAGCTTGCCAAGCGGAAGTGGCAATTATATAAGAACTACTGTGGAGAAACTGTGGCTCTTTTTAAAAACAAAGTGTTTTCGGCACTCTTCATCGCTATCTTTCTTTTCGACGTCGGAGGGTTTCCACCTTCATTACTTATGGAAGATGTAGCAAGAAGTTCAAATGTGAAAGAAGAAGAGTTTATCGTGCCTCTTATTTCCATTATTGGCATTATGACAGCAGTTGGCAAACTCCTGTTAGGGATACTGGCTGACTTCAAGTGGATTAATACCTTATATCTTTACATAGCTACCTTAATACTCATGGGCCTGGCCTTGTGTGCAATTCCATTTGCCAAAAGTTATGTCATGTTGGCCATACTTTCTGGGATCCTAGGGTTTCTTACTGGTAATTGGTCCATCTTCCCGTATGTGACCACAAAGACTGTGGGGATTGAAAAATTAGCCCACGCCTATGGGATATTAATGTTCTTTGCTGGACTTGGAAATAGCCTTGGACCACCAATTGTTGGTAAGATATTTATCTTAAAGTCACCCATTTTACTGTTCTCCTTTGTGACTTCCCAGGATATAGAATTTTGGATTGTAATAATAGCACAGATTTGCCCAAAATAAATCTGCATGGGAAGTGTCATGATAATGATTTATTCAGAATCACTCTGCTGCCCTAGCTGGTTTGGCTCAGTGGATAGAACATTGGCCTGCGGAATGGAGGGTCCCGGGTTCGATCCCCATCAAGGGCACGTACCTCCATTGCAGGCTCAATCCCTGGTACAGTGCTTGTGGGAGGCAACCAATCGATGTGTTTCTCTCACACCGATATCTCTCCTTTCCACTCGCTCTAAAAATCAATGGAAAAATATCTTCGGACAAGGATTAACCACAAAAAAAAATATAGTTGCAAAGTCAATGTTCTTGCTCAGGGAGGAAACAAAAATGCCTGTTTATTCTTGTCCAAATTTTGAGAAATTCTCCTTTTCTAATTCCCAGCAGGCCATCTACTTTGAGAGTAGATGGAATATATATTCTAATACTAACTGTATAAAATTGATGAAGTTAGAGTATGGGTTTCATATTCATACTATTTATATCAAACTCACTTTTTTCCTCCTCTCTCTCCAGGTTGGTTTTATGACTGGACCCAGACCTATGACATTGCATTTTTTTTCAGTGGCTTCTGCGTCCTACTGGGAGGATTTATTCTGCTGCTGGCATCCTTGTCCCCCTGGGAAACACGCAAAAAGCAACTCCCCAAGCCAGCTCCAGCAGCCTTTGTGTACAAAGTTGCCTCTAATGTTTAGAGCAATATTGGAAGGAAGTATGAGACTGTTTTTTCAGAGAAAAATTACACGGTGGCTGACGCTGACTGATTTTTTTAAACATATCCTATTCTCTATGCAGTCTCTATCTCCTGTATTTTTCCCCCCTCATTTCTCTTTTCTCAAGAAGCGGGACTATTCTGTATTGCTATGATTCACGAGTTCTTGACATTGTAAAAATTTTGGCCGGCCTCAGAAGACTTTCTGTGTGTAGAGAAATAATTTCTCTGCAGACTCCATTTGTTCCATTGCAAGGCACCCAGAGGGGACTCTTCTGTTTTAGACCTGCAGGCGGCATGATGAGATATGTGTGCTTGCCGCTATGGACTCTTCTCTACATTAGATGAGCTAGTGAATAGAAGACCTTGAGCCAGTCAAGAACTGAAAGTAGTTACTAAGACAGGATTAAGTATTGCAGTGGAGCAAGCTGATCATTTTTTTTAAAAGACATTATAAATTACAGTCACCGGTTCTAATCATTCTGTTCTATTTACCTTGATGAAGCACCCATCAAGCATAAGGTGTTTGCTGAGATGCAGGCGATCTCCAAACGGAGGAGTAGTCACTATAGCCTTTCTTCACGGTTGGCCGCTATAACCTCTCTTACTTTTGTCTGTCAGCATCCATTCAGCTGATGTTTCCCAGGAAGTGCTGATTTTACCTATTTCCAAATTGGAAATGCATATTTAAACCATTCCGTTCTGGCAAATGGGAAACATCCATTTGCTTCGGGCACAGTGAGGACGAATTACAAGTCCTTGCATATCTTCTCGGTTTATTTGCTATTATCAGATTTTACCACTATCACATTTTAATTCAAGGGCAGAACTAAAAAGTGTGTTTGTGTGTGTGAGTGTGAGTGTGAGTGTGAGTGCGTGTGTGTGTGTGTGTGTGTGTGTGATGTTCTAAGTCTGTGTGGGACATGGGAAGGGGAAAAGGCAATAAGAAGTTGATACCCTGATTCAACTTCATTCATTCTTAAGAAAAATGTTCTGGAAAAAAATAAATGTTTAATGCATTGACATTTTTCTAAATAAATATTTTTAAAACTTTTGTATGCATCCAATTCTTCTATAGGTCCTTTCAAAAAAAATACCACTCTGAGAGATTTTAATTCTGTAGGTCTAGGCTGTGGGCCAAGGATCTATATTTTTAATGTGATTCTGATAACACAGCCGGGGTTGAGAATGACTGTTGTAAAACTGGCAACACAGAAACATTTATTCTCTCAACTAAAACAAACAAACAAACAAACAAGAAACCATTGAGGTGATGAGTTTTTATAAATAGCCAAGTGTGATTCTTTAAATAGGAGGCACTCTTCCCATTGTGCCAAATTTGTTTTTGTTTTTTTCATTTCTTTTGAAATACATATGTAAGATTATTTCATACTTCTATGTTGCCTTTCTTCTAAGGCACCTGAAGCACTTTATAAGCATGAATCCCCACAACACCTCATTGAGGTGGGTAAATAGTGCTTTTCTATGCAGTAAACCTGGGGTATGGGGAGTTTCATAACTGAGTTAATCCTACTCAATAAGGAAATAATGGGGCTCCAAAGTGCCTTGGACTTCCGCTCCATACTCAGACTTCTGGAATTTCTGTACCTCATTTTTTAGTTACTGTCGAGGTTGGTCGATAAAATGAGTGACATTTAAAAAAAATTAAACTAAATGTTTTTGTGTTGTAAGTTCCTTTTTGCCAATGGTATATTCAGGAAGTCCAATAACCGGATAAAGCTTAATGTTTATGGCGTCCCCACATTCGTCAATGTTGATAATTGTCCAAATGCCTCTTTTCTATGTCTACTAATGTCATCCAATGCGTGCATTATCCATTGTCTAGGGAATGAATTTTAATGCACAATAAAATATTTTTTGTTTGTTTTACATCAGTTTGGTTGCTTTTTCTCTTCTTAGCCAGTCCCCCTCCCCACTTCAAAATTATGTACAGTGACACCTCCCTTGAATGTAAACACAGAAATTACCTGCTAACTACTTCCAGAATTTGATGATTGGACATCAGTATCTGCAAAAGTCAGTTTGCTAAGTTATTTTGACCATTGCCTTCCTAAAAGCTAATATGTCAATCCTACAGAATCCTGTTGAGGATAAAGGGACAGAATCCTTTTCAAGATTATTGGCAGGCCCTCGTTGGGACATGACTATTCAAATCTCCTTTTCCAGTGAATTTTCTTTCTCCTAAACGCTAAAGGTCCCCACAAGACTTGCAACCAAGGGAGCAATGGGCAGTGGCAACTCATCTTGGGCTAACCCCCTAATCTATCTCCAAAGCCCTCTTTTCTCTGACTTTCCAGTGAGCTGACAGCAACCCCGCCAAGGCTCTCTCCTGTTGCTTCTTCTGTCCTAGATAGAAGCCCTTCCTTGTTTCACCGTCCCCAGCTTTAAGAAATGTACTCTCAGCCGAAACTGGTTTGGCTCAGTGGATAGAGCGTCGGCCTGCGGACTGAAAGGTCCCAGGTTCGATTCCGGTCAAGGGCATGTACTTGGGTTGCGGGCACATCCCCAGTAGGAGGTGTGCAGGAGGCGGCTGATCGATGTTTCTCTCTCATCGATGTTTCTAACTCTCTATCTCTCTCCCTTCCTCTCTGTAAAAAAATCAATAAAATATATTTTAAAAAAAAGAAAAAAAAGAAATGTACTCTCAAATTTTTTTTTTAATTCTTAATGATGATCTCATTAGTCATTAATGGAATTTTTAAATCCAAGCACATTATCTTATTTACCCCCACTAATAGCCCTATGAGATGGGGATTATGATCCTCGTATGGTTCAAAACGTAATTTTCATGCTATGAACAACATATATGTCATTTCCAAAAGCAAAATGAGAAAGGTTTGATTTCTAACATGTCTAGGATATGGGGCCTAGCTGGGAGGGTTGCTACTATAGCCAAGCTTCTAGTGTATAGAGATGTGATATTTATAGAAATATTTATAACTTACTTATTTCTTAAGAATTAGCTTTTTAAAAACACAATAATGAAATTATATTGATTAGAATACAATCTTGCTTTCGTGAGTTAAAAGGTATTTCTTGATATTCCAAGTGCCTGGGGCTGAGCTGGGGAAAGCTTGAACTAAGAGAGTTTGCTAGGGACCCACTTCCCTGAGTTTAATACTTCCTCACTCGTCTCTCTCTCTCTCTCTTTCTCTCTCCCTCTCTCTCCACCTAGGAGCCAGCCGGTGATCTAATTTTCTCTAGAGTGACCATGTCATCAGAAGATAAGGTTCAGCCACCAACTTTTGAAGGCCCCCTGAGAAACAATTTCCAAGAACCAGGAGTTCCAGCCCTGGGAGGTCATGACTGAATGGTATATCCATCCTGTAATGCTGGCTGGGAAGTCCCATAGCCTCAGAGAGCCTCAACTTCTAGCAATCACTGTAGGATTATCTTAACTCAGGACATTCCAGGAAAAGGAGAGCTCTAATTTTATGGAAAGAATATCTCATCTTTTCTTAGAAGGACTATTATATTGATCGGTAAAACACACAATATACATTAGCAATGCTAAACAGTTTCTCTGTCATGAACAGAATTTTGGGGCATTTTGCTTTACAGTCAATTGTCTGAAGGATGCCAGTTAATAAGATGCCTCTTTAAATAAGGAGCTTAACCACAACCAGGCAAAATGATCAGTTGGCTTTAGCAATGTGGAGATCATTTGTTGACCTTGACAAATAGTTTGGAGGAGCAGTCAGTACACAAGGGAGACCATGAATATAGACAACTTCTAAGGCATTTTATTCTTATACTAGAGGCCTGGTGCACAGATTCATGCACTGGTGGGGTCCCTCAGCCTGGCCTGCAGGGATCGCGCTGAAACCTGCTCTCCAACATCCCCTGAGAAGTCCCGGATTGCGAGAGGGAAGTTCTCGGGTGATGCACCCTGGAATCGGCTCCCTCCTCTCTGGTTCTGGGTGCATCACCCAAGAAGCGCAACTGCCAAGTCACCACAGCTCGGTAGCTCCTGCATTGAGCGTCTGCTCCCTGGTGGTCATTGCGTGTCATAGCTACTGGCCGGTTGGCTGGTTGCTTAGACTTTTAACTATATATATATATATATATATATATATATATATATATATATATATATATAAAATATTGTTAACTGTTGAACTGACTTGAGCCTGGGATTATTTGGCCCCAAATTACTGTTTCTGTCCCCATGAGAGGTTTAAATACAGGGACAATTAGTGTTGTTTTGCCTCATGACCAAAAACAAATTCTTGACTTTGATCATCCATGATAAGCACGTGTAGGGATGTCCTGAGGGAGATGCACAGATTGTTACAAATTCACCCACAGTTCAGGAAAAACAGCTTGAAATGTTTGTCTGACTAACGGGTGACCCCTGGCCTTCGTTTCTATGAAAGTTACCTCTACTGCATTAAGGAAACTAAGACAAGCCATTCTGGTTGGGCCTGTTGGGTGGCAGGTGCTCTGGATGAGGTGGGAAGTCATAACCCCCTTTGATTCTACAGCACTGACTGCTTTTATAAAAGAGCTTTCTTATCTGATATCTCGTTTGATCCTCATAACAAGCATGTGACATAGGCAACACAGATGATGGTCTCACCATTGTAGAGGAGAGAACTGAGGACTCCAGTGGCTGAGGAACTGCTGTAGGGCACAGAGCTGGGATGAGCATTTGGGACTTCAGTCAGATTCTACGGGCTAACTCAGCCCTATTGCACTTTGCTCAAGTGAGCAGCAACCAAGATCTGCCCCCCTGAGTCATGTCTTCCTGATAATAGGAAGGAAAAGGGCAGCATTTAGCCCTTACCAATAGCGAGGTGCTTCAATAACCTGAGAATGCCCTGCTCTGCCTTCGTGTCTGGAAGTCATCATCTCTGGCCTGAGCTCTGCTCTCACCTCTTGGGACCTTTCAGATAATCTGTTTTTCACAGGTTGTATCTCAAAGTCTGATGGGAGGTGACAAGCCTATCGGGTTGTACGGGATGACATCTACTTCTATTAAAATCAAGTGGAGCTCCTTTTAAATCCAAGAGATTAAAGCATGAGATGAAATAACATATTAGACAAAATAGCAGGTGGCTCTTCATTTTGTGTTCCTGACATTATATAACTTAGCTTCCATTTCCAAGAATGTTCCAGAACTAATTTTAGAGAGTGCAATTCACATAATAATGTTCCTAGTCAAAACAAACGAAATACATCCATATGTGATGTTTGTATGGGAGGACATTAAAGGGGAAATTTGGAAATGAGGTGGTGAGATTGATCAAGCTGAATTTTTTCTGAAAGCTGATTATTCCTCCTTTACGATGTTATAATGCCTATAAAAAGGCATCAAGGTGAGATCACAAGGATCCTCAAGCAGCAAACACATACTGAGTGTCTAAGAGTTTTCAGAATGTGGGGCACTGGTCTGATTACTGATGCACAATAAGGTGCATTTACATACGACAGGTTAACTTCCAGTTTTCTAGCTCTAGATGCTTAATGGAATTGCTAAGGACATCCCAAACTCAGAGGGGAGAAAGCCCAGATGGAAATTCTTCCTATACCTGAAATTGGAGCCCTGACAGCAAAGTATCATAAGATCTAAATGAAGGAAAAGCAAAAACACTGTTGAAAATATGGCTGGTGAAACCACACATAGTCTTAGTGATCTTCTACTGTCCAACTATAAGTATGTATCCAAAGAGGCATGTGGGGGTGGAAGAGAAGGGTAAGAGGACTGCATGCCCCTTGGAGCCCTCAAATCAAACAGGCTTCCTTTACAGGCGTGAACACGGGTTTGGTGAAGAAGTTTTGATACAGCCACTCTCATATGCTCAGGATGACAGACATTGGAATAAACTATTCATAGACAATTCAGCAATATCAGAATTAAAATATGCATAGTATTCGATCCAGCCACTTCACTACTAAGAATTTACACTAGTCTTGTAGATGTGTTAAAAAGTGCACACAGTGATCACCGCAGCAATGTTTGTAAGAGAAGAGCTGGAAATGACTTCCATGTCTAAGAAGCGGACTTGCTAAATGCACTATACTATATTGATATAAGGAATTACTGCACAGCCACTGAAGACAAGGATAGACTGAGTGCATTGATATGGACTGTGTTTCAAGACATAGTTTTTAATATATTTTGTTGTTGATAGTATTACAGATATCTCCCATTCTCCCCTCCCTCTTACTTAAGACATATTAAATGAAAGTGTAGGGTGAGTGTGTGTGTGTGTGTGTGTGTGTGTGTGTGTGTGTGTGTGTAGCATGTGGGTATTGTATGTGTAGCAGTCAAGATCCCATCAGGAAACGGAATTTGCCCCAGATAGTTCAAATGTTGAGACTTTAATGAAAGGACTCTGGGCAGAGGTGTGGGCAGAGGCACCTGGACACTCGCACCAATGGGAAGCCTCTACCACCCTATATTGGAAACTGGTTCTCTACTTAGGTCTCCTTTTCAGGGCTGATGCACCCATTCCCAGTGGCTGGAAATATCAGTTGAAATATCAACAGTCGGCTCATAGCAGACTGTTCCCTAGGTTATGTTCAGCTACAACAGCTTCATTCAGGCTACACTCATTCCTGGGGGTGGCTGTGGCCAGTGACTAGCTGATGCAGGGATAAAAGAGCCCAGCCCCCTTGTCTCAATTTAGGACAATTCTGAAGCGTCATCCCAGCTCCAGAGCACCCTGTAGCATCAGCTAGGCCTCACTGAACTGTATTTCATGTTAGCTTCTCCTGGCCAATTCTGCTTTTCTCCTTTCCTTACAGGTGTATCTCCCAAGGCATACCTCAATAAGCCATCTGCATGCACCTCTCCATCTGAGTGTGTTTCCAGGAAAACTAGTCCAAGGTACATCCCTGGATCTGAAGGGCTGAAGAAGATGGAGCC